ATATATACCAAAAGAGACACAAACATTTAACGTGGTTTGACCAATTGATCTACGTCTATAGGCGGAGATAAGCAATTCAGTATATAAAAGAAGGTACAAAATATCGAGAGAATAACTCACAAAGAGGCACGTACAAGTGGCAGGCTAACACTTGTCTCACAAATTCTCCCTGAAAAAAGACTTTCAAACGTTTTAAGGCTACACTGTGGATGCTACTAAATGAGAAGGAAATATATATATATATATTGCACTTAGTTTCTGCAGAAGCTTCAAGTTTTATAGTATATATTTCTTTAATATCAAGACTGGTATTTTTTGGAGGAGTGTTGTATGTATTTTGCTATCGTCAAAAAAGACAAGTGATAATAGGTGAATTTAACTATATTCAGGCCCTAAATAACCGCCTTCTTGCATAGTTTTGATAATAAAAGTGATAACAAAATGCTCTTATTATGCTTTTCATGACTTGCAGGTTATATAAGACTAGGGAAGGTTAGGGAGTACTTTTGGAGTCAAAAATTGAAGAAAGAGAGGCCATCCGTGAAATATCCCAAGTGAACCACGCAAAAACAGGCTGAAGAATCAGAGAAATGATTTTGCCGCGGTTCCACCGCGATCACGGCAGAACCGCGATGAAGACTGCTCGCGGACAGAAGGAGATTCAGAGGAGCTGTTTGGCCGCGGTTCCTCCGCGACCGCGGCAGAACCGCGGCAGGCGCGAGAAAGTACAGGGACTAAAGTGCAAAACATGGGATTTTTAGCCCAAAACCCTATTTTAAACATTAGACTTCGCCAAAAGAAGGCATGTATTGATTTTTAGAGTTTCTTAAGAAGGAAAACCATTGTGAGAGATCACCCAAAACATCTTTCTTCTTTTCTTTGATTCTTATTGCTAGTTTATGATGAATTTTATCTTAGTTTGTTTACCCATAGTTATGAGTAGCTAAATCCTTTGTCTAAGGTTTTGATGGAACCTATTGGGGGATGAACTTCTTGTTTATGTGAATACAAATTGCTAGTTTCAATCTTTATTTGTTTAACTATGTTCTTGTTGTAGTTAATTGACAGGATCCTCAATTAGCTGTGCCTATTTAGTGTGCATAACTCGGGAGAGAGTGCATATTTAGGTTATTGTTGAACAACACTACTCCCAAAGTATAAGAGGGATCTATAACTGCGGGTTTAAAGGCGGGATTAGGGATAACGAAGCCTTGAGTGCAATCTGAAGTGAACTGTGTTAATTAAAGCTAGCTAGTGTATCTCGAGAGAGTGCATTGAGTATATTACTGTGACTACTCGGGAGAGATTTGCGGTAAGATGAGCGTTCATGATTGATAGAGGTGTGTTGGTAAATTTGTATGAAGCATAAACAGAAGGGATTCCATCATTAGGGGAAGTCATTACCTTAGCGTTTTCTCATTATTGTTTACAACCTTAGCATCCTTAATTTGCAGTTGTTTATTTACTTGCAATTTTAGTTATTAAAGACACCATCAACTGTGATTCAACGTTTGGGAAATTGGTTCTCAAGAGTGGGTCTAAAGATAGTGATTGATAGGTTAACTCTCTGTGGATTCGACCCTGGGCGTAATACTCGGGTTATATTTGCAACGTCTGCAGAGTCCTTTTTAGAGGGCATAGTTAGGCGTGATCAAATTTTGGCGCCGTTGCCGGGGACTTAACGAAATTATCAATTACCATCGATAGAAATACAAAAATTCTTAGGAAAGTTAGTTTACTTTACACCAAATTTTTGATTGAAATTTTTGACGGTTGTTGACGGGGTTGCTCAGGTGTATGCCGAGAAGCTCTACGAGGAATGGAGAACTACTTGAAGGACTCTCAGACCCCGAGAAAACATTCTGGATATTGAACCGTACCAACAAAAGACTTCAACAACCTCATCAAACACACAAACTCGAAATTGACATGGGTGACGCAAACAACGCCGACGGAAATGTCAGAGATATGGCACCTCCTATGCTTGAGGCTGCACTATATGACTGGGCACAACCCACAGCTGACAATCTGGCCACTACCATTGTTGTGCCCGCGATACAAGCTGAATCTTTCCAGATCACGAACAACATGCTGCACTTGTTGCAAAACAAGGGACTATTTTCTGGGACACCAGCCGAAGATCCTCAGCAGCACTTGAAGAACTTCCTGTCGATTTGCAAGACTCAAAGGCAACCCAACGTAACTCCGGAAGCAATCAGGTTGCTATTATTTCCATTCTCGGTGACAGGAGCTGCTCAAGTCCGGCTAAACTCACTCCCCATAAACTCTATAGAAACTTGGGATGAGTTAGTCAAGCAATTTCACATCAAGTTCCACCCGCCCAACAAAACAGCTCAACAAATTGATGAGATCATGAGTTTTAAACAGAAACCAATGGAGACACTGCATGAGACATGGAGAATGTTGGTTATATGTCCACACCATGGTATTCCAGATCAGATGTTGGGACAACGGTTTTACATGGGACTATCAGATAGCATGAAGAATATTGTAGATGCCTCAGCTGGTGGGGCATTTTTGAGCAAAACTTGGAGAGAAGGTCAGAGTCTGCTTGACAAAATGGCTAAAAATTCGGGGTGGACGACGAGGAATGCACCCATCAGTCCAGTGGTGCACTCAGTGCCTTTTGACCCATCAAATTATATGGCTGAAAATGTGGCGACGCTCTTGACACAGATGAGCATACTCACCAAAAAGGTGGAGGGATCAGGGCAGAAACAACAAGTGCACATTGTAGATACTACCAATGGGGGCTTGTGCATATCTTGCATCAGTCAGCCAATGGGTAATCGTTGGAATGCAGAACATGATCATCATCAGCAGCACCCTGGAGACATGAACTATGTGTTAAACTATGGAGGCCAGAGACAGGGCAATCAGAACTGGGGTCAACAAACTCAGCAGTCATACAGACCACCTCAGCCACAGTACAACGATGGAAACATGGGAGGTATGAGACCCCCCAACAATATGTCACCTTATCCAAGGTCACAGGGGTACAACAATCAACAGCAAGGGTATCCCCCACCTCAGCAACAGCAGGGTGGAAGGCAAGAAGAAGGGTTCACTAGACTTGAAGCAATGATGCAACAGGTTATTGGATCCAATGCAAAAGTAAATGAAAAAGTAGATGCACATGACGCAGCGATCAAAAATATTGAAGTGCAATTGGGCCAAATTTCAATGTCTCTGAACATTCATCCTCAGGGGACGCTACCTGCAGATACCCAAATCAATCCTAAAGATCAGGGCCCGAAGCAGCTGATGGCGGTGAGTCTCCGTAATGGTAAGGATCTTGATGTAGAGCAGGAGAAAGCTCGTGACAATATACAGGCTGAGACACTCATTCAGGTACCCATTGAGCTAGATGATTCCACAAGGCTGACAGATGTGACAATCCAGCCTGCTCAGGAAGAAAAGAATACTCAGCAGGAGACCAAGAAAGTTGCTGAAGCAGTTGAAGAGCCGGTAGTAGAGATAGTAGCTGAGAAATAAAAGTCCCAAGTGATTGGAAATAAAAGACCTCCTGCTCCATTTCCACAGAGGTTGGCCAAGCATCAAAAGGAGGAGCAGTACAAAAAGTTCTTTGAGATGCTCAAGCAAATTCAGGTTAATATTCCATTGATTGAAGCTTTAAAGGAGATGCCTGGATACGCAAAAATGATGAAAGACTTAATGTCCCGGAAATTTGACTTCCAAGACTTGGCCACGGTGACACTTACTCAGACGTGCAGTGCAGTGGTAACTAGACCTGTTGCTGAAAAGCTCTCTGATCCAGGGAGTTTTACTATTCCATGCACTATTGGAAACTTTGCTTTTGCGAAAGCACTCTGTGATTTAGGGGCCAGCATTAATCTTATGCCCCTGGTCATTTACAAAAGGTTGGGCATTGGGAGAGCTAGACCCACCTCTATGTTGTTGCAGCTGGCTGACAGGACTGTGAAGCGTCCATTTGGGATCCTTGATGATGTACTTATTCAGGTGGGGAAATTCGTGTTCCCTGCAGATTTTGTGATATTGGATTGCAAAGTGGATGAAGAAATTCCTATCATCTTAGGAAGACCATTCTTGGCCACAGGGAGAGCTCTTATTGATTGTGAGACCGGGGAACTTAAGATGAGGCTCAATGACGAAGATATTATATTCAATGTGCAGAAATCTATGAGGCGACCAAGTGAGTTCGCCAATTTCTCTCTTATTGATGTCGTGGATGTAATCGTACAGTCTGATGATGAAGTATTGACAGTTGAGGATCCCCTCGCTGCATGTTTGACGAATTTGGAGAAAGTGAATGGTGAGGACTTGGCGGAATGCGTGTTGGCACTGGAAGGTAGAGGGTCTTGGGAAAGAAATCTAGAGTTTGAGCCCCTACACTTA